TAGGCCTTAAAATACTCTTTTCTGCATTGTTCATTGAGTGTAAATGAAACCATCATGGTCATGAAGATGATGAATAGCTTTGCTTTGATGTTACTAAACTTCCACAGTTGCTGTAGCTTCCCACTGAGCTACATTTCTCAGTATAATTTTTGAAGTTCTTTTTCTAACTAAGGATTACGTTTTATGATAGTGATGACAGAGATAGTAATGATGGTGATTTTTAAAATTACTATTGACTGTGCAAATGGAATAGAGAATAAATATCAAGACTTTTTACTTAATCAAAATTGAAAAGTCATTCAAATTATGTGATGTGCCATTATAGTATTAGCTATGTCTAGCAATTCCTATTCAATTTATGCATTCGTTGTATATATTTATTCTTGTATTTTATTTTGAAATTCTGAGAATGAAGTATATAGATCTCTATATCTAGGAGAACTTCAGTACAGTCCTACCCAAAGAATTAACATTAGAGAAGTTATCACTCGTATATTCCCCTAAAATTTAACTTTACCATATCAAATGAAGTAAAATATCAAATTAGTCTTAATTATTAATAAATATTAACTTATTTTTTCCTGTGTCTATTTCCAACTTTAATCTACCAATAATATTGTCCATTGACAATGCATTATACCTTGCTCAATCTTCTCTTTAAAATGGATTATATGTAGATGTACATGTATACATTATGTATTATATATACATCCACACACTAGGCATATTAGACACATTTGTTGTTCAATTAAATAGCATTGTACTGATCATTTATTCTACAGCTGTAGTGAATGCAAGATAGAGTTGATACTTCCTGACCTCAAAAATCTTTAAATGTAAGGAGGACAATAAAATAACTATGAAATAATTTTTCCATCAATGCAAATGTGTAGATTACAATTATAAAATATTCTGGCAAGTGAAGAAAAAGGATATTTCCAGTCGTAAAATCACATAAGTCTTCTTGGAAGAGATATGCTTTGAGTAGGGGCTTGGTAAGATTTTGATGGATAGAAATTAGGGGCAAATTATTCCTGATGAAGGGAAAAATGTAAACAAAGGACTTGATTAGAGAGAAACAGCACATATTTGAGAATGCAAGTAGTCCATTGGGCTTAGATACAGTTTACAAATAGGTTTAGTAGAAGAAGAGTCTTTACAAGTAATCTGAATCAATTCATAGAGGGACTTGAATGCATGTAAAGGTGTTTGGAATTTTGCCAGGTAGCTATGGGGAGCCTTAGGTTGATTGACTGTCTACTTTGGATGATTAATTAGCTTATAAAGTGGACAGGACAAGATGTGGAGAGACTAGTTAAGAACTTATTACCATAGACTCAAGTGATCTATATGTCAGTCTGAACTAGTGTTGGCAGTGTGTGTAGCAAGGAGGGAATATTTGACAGATTCTATCTGTACAATTGAGTCTCAACAGTAGGTGAATAAGAACACGGAAGACTTGTTGAAGGCTGATTAGGTAAATTGATTTATTTTAGATTTAAACAGTATGGTTTTGTGACTTTGTGCAGAAATAGTTGGCAGACCAGCAATGGAAGCAGAGAAAACAAACTGATTATGCAAGATCATAGTTTAAAAAATGAAAAAATGTAGAAGGTCAAAAGATATTAGATCCAGGGTAAAGTTCAAGTATGGCTAAAAGTGAGTGATTGGATTGGGGTATAGCTAGGAATTTTTGGAGTTTCTAGGTCATAAATAGAAATTGAATAGATTCAATAAAATTGGAGAATGAGCCCTGTGGTAACTGGAAGTGATTTCCTGAGGTGGGGGGGGAGTGGGAGTTCTGCTTCTGGCCATATATATTGATAGCTAAGGTGGAAGGGAGATAAATATCATTAGAGGTGATGAAGCCAGGGTATGACAAAGGTCCTCAGTGTAGCCAGGATGAGTGAAAAGCCCATAAACTGTAGAACTAAGTTGCAGAATTAAAGGAAAACTGAAGGAAAGTTTAGAGCTAGGTTGCCTTGATATGCATTAATCTCAGTGAAGAAGCTCATTCTTTCTTCTGGGCTCTGATAATCAAAGAACTCTTGATTACTTACTAATTTAAGAATTCAATTCTCATTTGAAATGCAAACATTGTACTTTTTTTATTCACTAAAGATGAAGGCCAATAAATTCACAATTACTGGACATGTTTGAAGATATAGGGAAACCTTGGTATCCATCGATTCCATATTTGGGACTTGGTATGCTCACTAAAATTTATTTGTAACCCCCAAATTAATACTTGGCAAACTTTTGTGGTCATTCATGAAGATGCACAGAGAAGCAAAAAAGTTTTATTATCCAGTGCCTCATTTGTTAGCATTTTTATGCTATTTGTTGATAATTTTACCATTCAAAGTGGCCTCCAACTATAACGCTAAAGTTCTATCTGGTGTTCTTATGCAAAAGGAGGTTGTGATATGCCTGATGGAAAAAAAAACGTGTGTATTTGATAAATTGCATGAATGCATGTGTTATAGGACTGTTGACTGAGTTCAATGTTAATGAATCATCTATCTGTCTACCTATTTATCTTCAAATAGAAACACATAAAACAAGATTGTGTGTTGATCAGTTGAAAAAAGATGTGACCAGAGGTTTTCCTGTAAGAGTAATTCTTCAGTATGCACTAATTCACATAACACACAAGTACTGCAAATAAACAGAGTCAAGTACACCTTGTTTGTGTTGGTGGAAGGTGGCTGTCTTGGTTGTTTGCATGCCCTCTCAAGTTGAATACCAAATTATTATATTATTATTATTATTATTATTATTATTATTTTGGTACTGGGGATCGAACTTGGGACCTTTCGTTTGTGAGGCAAGTGGTGGAACCACTGAGTGAACACCAAATTATGACTTATTCAACTTTCTATTTTGAAATAACTTTAGATTTAAAGACAAAGTACAAAATAGTGTGCTGTTTCCATTACCCTTCACCCTATTCCCATATATACTTCATCTGGCTTCCTCTGATGTTCACATCTTCATAACTACAGTGCAATGATCAAAATTAGGAAATTAAGGTTGTTGCAATATTACTAACTCATCTATAGGCCTTATTAGAATTTCTCAGCTATTCCCATTCATATTCTTTTTCTGGTCCAAGAACCAATCCAAGATTCTGTATTGCATTTAATGTCATATTTCCTCGATCTGTAATGATTCTTGCTTTTCTTTATTTTTTTCTACTGATCTCATATACTTTTAGAATTCCTCAGTTTGGGTTTGTTTAGTGTTTCTTCGTGTTTAGATTGAGGTTATTCATTTTTGACAAGAATACCACAGAAATGATGTGTCCTTTTTAATGCATTCTTTATCAGTATCAATCATGTCCATATATTGTCACATAGGTGATATAAATTTTGATCATTTGGTAAAGATTATCATATGATTTACTATTAAATTGCTGTTATTCATCTTTGTAATTGTTAAATGAAAGAATTTTTAATGCTAAAATTTTCTAGATTACTTTTCAATCAGAAAGCACATTATCATTAACCAGTTCTATGTTGTATCTGATGACAAATAATTGGAATAATTTTTAAATGATATTCTTTTGTTCACTGAGAATTGACAATCTGGTGGGAAATGGAGCAACACACATAAAACATTATTATACAGAAAAATATAGAAAATCACAAGGGGCTGGGGATTTAGCTCAGTGGTTCTGCTGCCTGCCTTGCAAACTCAAGGACCTGAGTTCAATCCCCGGTACCAAAAAATAAAACAGAAAATCACATTGTGACAAATTGTGTGGCACAGAATGTAGGCTTATAGAAGTTGTCAGGGAATGCATTGTGTGGAAAGATAAACTCATGAAGGATTTTGATGAGGAAGTATGGCTTTTCTAGGTAGAGCTGTATAATTCATTTAACTAAGTAAAATATGTTAAGTATTTTAGCACCTGAGGGAATTGTATTAGAAGCCAGGAATATACAATCATATGAAAAAGAGGGTCTTTACCCTCAAAAAGCTCTTAGTCTAATGAGAAAGAGATGCCTATCAATATAGAGAAATATGATTCATTTGTATAGAGATGGAAGAGGAGAAGAGATTACTGGGATTGGGAAGCCATACCTTAGAGAAGAATGGAAGATAATTCAGATTATCTAGTCTAACTTTCTGTACTTGAAGAATGCTGCAAAATTTTTGAATACTTCTAGTCACAAGAAGTTAATTTGTTGAGACATTTGATTCCACTGCTTTATGTCTATTTTGAATAGAAAATAATTTTTCTTTTGAGCTAAAATTTCAACAGACTTTCACCACTAGGTCTAGTTCTTGCCTCCTCAGCTATAGAGAGTAAACTGACTACCTCTTTTTGCAGGATAATCCTTAGAAACACAGACTTTGCATCTTTTCTTAATGCCTCCCCTTTCAATTTAAACACAGATAAATCTATATACTATATGTGATTCCTAGGTCCTTATAATTCTTCATGTATTTGTTGATTGATATGGCAACTGGAATTGAAAATATTCTTGGGCTGTCAAACCAGTAAGCACCATGTAACTTGCCTATGGCTTGTTCTAGACAGCATAATTCTATTGTGCAGCCTAACTATTCTTTCGCTATTTTGAAAGCAAAATTGTTGGCTTTATTTCTATTTTCCTTATAAATAATTTATGCTCCCTCACCCTGACTTCCTCCCCTGAACATTTTTTAGTCTAATAATTATTTGGGGTCTCCCTCATCCCGTTCAGTGGAAATTTTGAACCTAGCATTCAAAACTTATTTATTTCTGTCACATTTTGTGCTCTTCATTTTGACTTCTTAGTGGAGCTCTTTGTGAAGTTTGAACTTGTCATCTGTGCTTTTGCTTTTCCCTTATTTCCAATATCTGCAGATTTGATAAGAATGTAATTTATTTTCATTCAAGGCTTTAATAAAATAAATGAGACAGGAGGTCAAGTACAGAGTTCTTGGGCAAAGCATGTAGGTCTCTGGTGATTTCCTGATATAAAAAAGCTCCTGCCTATATTTCTGTGCAGCTCCCACTCTGTTCTCCAGGAGACACAGGGGCAGGAAGAACATAGCATGCTCATTAACGCTGATGACCCTGACCTGACTGGAACCCAAGATGGCGTGTTGGCCAGCAGCGTGGAATCAGTGGATTCTTCAATGGAGACAGGTCGAATTGTGTCACATCCAGGAAGTCACTTCTGTGAATGATAATTCTATAGTGTTTCACTGCTTGTGCACTTTCCTCATGTTCATGTTCTCAGAGATATGAAATGGCACAAGGTAAATTAGCACAGAAGATTTGGGGCCGGGGCATGACAAATTAAAAGCATGACTGAAAGTAGCTTATGATATTGATGGAATTCTCTGTGGACTGGGGATGATGTGACTAGAGAAAGAAGAAAGCTGCTGAAGTTTTCCAAGAGGTGAAGAGAAAAAGAAATTACATGAAGACAATAGTGAAAGCAGAGAAGGGACAGATAGAAGATATGCTGCACAGAAGAGCAATAGGATTCTATAACTAAAAATGGATTTGGGGAGGGAGGAGCAGAAGGGCTGAAGCAAAGATAACACATACAATTTAAATCTGGAACTATGATGCATAGTGGATGTAAACTAGAAGATTGGTAAATGGATCTGGTTTAGGTGTGGTTAGGTTTATTGTTTTTGTATTTAGCATAATGGTGTTGAGTGACTCCTAGTTGAGAGCGTAAGACTTGCCATTACTAGCATAAAAAGAAGGGTTTTCTAAGGAGTGAGATTTTCAGGTAGAAACTTACAGGGCTTCCTTTGTGTCACAGTAGGACTGTAGGATCCCAGCAGCTGTCAGAACCCTTTGGTTTTTTAGCACATAAGTGCTTACTGTAAAAGTGATCCTTTCCAATGGAACTAAGGGTCACTTAGCTCTGCAGATCCACTTCAGATGTTGCAAATGGTAAATATGGTTAGGAAAATCTTGGAAATGGAAGTTGGCTAAGATAAAATATGCCCAAGTCATAGAATGAGTCATAGGAATAAAATCTTGAATATCCTATTTAGCCATCAGCAAATATCCTGACAAAGCTATCTACCTACTTTTAAATAGAACAGCCTTTTTATGCTTTTCTTTCAATAGATACTCAATTTATGGTCCTACTGCCTCCCTACACACACACACACACACACACACACACACACAGAAAAATGAGTTCAAAAAGAGAATGAAAAATATATTAACTTGAAACCTGATTAATCAGCTTTAGGAGAAGATCCTATTATCATTAAGCTCTTGATCATCATCATACTCACACATTCATTGAATGCCTGATTGTGGTTATACAAAGAACATACACACACACACACACACACGCACACACAAATAAATACAGAGCAGAAGTCACATGGGCCTGTCCTCTCTGGGTTTATGGACCCTATGTATAAGAGAGAAAACACAGGTAAATGGCCATATAAAAGTGTTTACATGAGTCCCTCTGCAATTACATTTGCAAGGCCGCAGCTATCCTATTTTATCAAGGAATGTAATCTCCTGTTGTCTGAGTCACTTCTCTGGTCGGGGAGACATACTACCCAACACTCACAATTTGAAGGTGAGAGGTTTATTTTGGCTCATAATTCAGTCCATAGCTGGCTGACTCCAAAGCAAGACGGCATGGCACAGGCGCATGGTAGATGTCTGAGCAGTGGGGAAGCAGAGAGGGAGTGAAGAGAGGAGCTGGGATGGGAGGTATATCTTTCCAGGTCAAACCCCCATTAACCCATCTCTTCTGATCAGATCCCACCTCCTAACAGCAAGTCAACTATAATGCTCTCATGATCCAATCACCTTTCAAAACTCCAGCCTGTGAGCACATGAAACTTTTAGGGAACATCTAGATATAAACCATAACATCTATATAAGTAAAATTTTATAAGAAGCAAAGCTTACCTATTAGGCATTACAGAAGCTTCTGGCTTTTCAGTCAGTATAAACAGTTTCTAGCACTTCACTCACTTAATGGCTAAGGGGCATCCTTAGGAACATTCTGTGTTGATGAATTCTGTGCTCTCAGTTGCCTTTCTTTGCCTTTTATCTTTCAGTCATTTTGGTCTTCAACTGTGGCAGCTACTTTTCCAGGTCTTCACGTGCCAGCCCCTCAGCTGATCTCCCACTTCACTGGTGATATATTACTCCAGAACATCTTCATCCCTACAAAGAAAGTTAACCAGGATTGTCATACAATTGAAATGGGCCAATAATTCTGAGTGAGGCTCCAAGGAGAAAGGCAGCTGGGTGTTGTGGAGAGATCGAGATAGCTGCTTGGAACATTCTAAAGTGTTCTCTAGTATTAGATTAGATGCGGTAATGCTAGAGTATTTAGGTATTCTAAAGTATCTCCAGCTCAGCCTCCAGAAAGCTGAAGTTGAAGAAATACTGGTCTCTGGATGAGAGAGCCGCTGCTGTCTTCACACTGGAGATTATTAGCTCCCAAGTTACCTCCTAATTTAGGGATAGAAAACAAGAGTATCATTCTGGAAAGTGGAGATATGATAGACATTCCTGAAATCAACCTGATAAAATAAAAAAAATTACATAATGTAACAGTATAAAAAATAAAGATATCCTACTCCTGTCCTGCATGCCTTCTCCAAAATACACATGTATATTGTTAATTTCCCTGAAGGTCATTTTCTTACATCAGAGTAAAGTGGTTTTTCACTCCACCACACTGTGATTCCTGTCATTTTTCAGAGCTTCTGAGTTCTGTCCCCAGTGAGTAACAAAACAGAGCCCAGAAGAGCCAACCACTGAAGAGTAAGTCACATGCACAGCCTTTGGTGGAGATAGAAAAGGGAAAAGTCCCCTTGGAAGATCACAAATGTCTTCTATTATTGAAAGATTAAGAAGCACCATGATCAGCTCTGAGCATCAGGATTTCTGATAAGTTGCTTGACAGATATGTGTAAGTCCCTGTTAGTATCCAGGTGGACTTCATGTCAGGTTATGTGTAGCTTTTATTTTTCTTCATTCATAATTTTGAGGTTCTTCTTTGTAGTCACATATAGCATTGCTCTTCCTTCACCATGATACATACTATTTTAAAGAAAACATTTTTAAGATTTAAAATTTATGAAAGCTATTGGCTGTTTTAAAATGATATATAAAATGTTCAGTTGGAACCACCATTTAGATTATCCATAGTAATGTCAGGGGTTGGAGAACACTGCTTACATTAGAATAGTGTTTGTATTTCCATTTTGTTTATCTTTAGTATATCTTTGGAGAGTGACTGAGGGTACAGCATTCCTATATTAAACAAAGTTAAACTAGAGCCCAGAGAGGAATGGGATATACATAGTAATTGGCCATGCTTTCTGGAGCAGGAAGGGTGGCAGTTCAATTAAGGAGGAAGAGTTTGGTCCAGCAGACTAAGGTCCAAGTATGGAGCAGTAATTTACAAAAATAGATGAAGTCTAAACAAATAGATAGGGTTGTAAATTCTAAAACTGGGTAATAAATGTTATATATTTACAGGGACTGCTTACTCTCTGCTTTAGTTTTATGCTGTTCACAGGTACCTTTAGGGGCTCAGAATTCTCATAGAGACACAGAGGTTCCAAGATGAATTCTGTTCTCAGTGAGGCAAGAACAGAAATACAAAGATGGTCTCACCTCCAAGCCTACAGAGGTGGCATGCTGAAACTGAGCTAATATTTCTAAGTTCATTGGATAATTTCTCCCATAAAATTATGAAAGGGTCAGAACATTTGGGAAATCTTATTATTCTGAAACAAGTTTCAAGAAAGATAGGAGACTTCAATTCTATAAAGTATCTTGATAATACCACAAGAAGCAAGAACTTCCAAGAAAGCTTTTACTCCACTCCTCAAGCAAATGGTTTTTTTAAAAGTTACATTTGAAAATGATTGCATAATTAACATAAGGAATGCAGAATCATTAGGAAAATGTAGCAGGCCTTTCACAGCACATGGAAGCACAAAATACTTTTCCTGGCAGTGAAAAAGATTAGGTGTCTGCATAAAAATTAAAGAAATAAGTATGTTGGTGCGCACCTGTAACTCCAGCCACTTGGAAAACTGAGAAAGGAGGAGTGCCAAGTTGTAGGCCAATCTGAGCAACTTAGTGAAACCCTGTCTCAAAATAGAAAAGGTGGGGTTGAGGTATAGCTCAGTATTTAAACACATGCCTAGCATATGTGAGATTCTGGGTTCAATACCCAAAAATGAAGAAAAAAATTAAAGCCAAAATTATAAATTAATTAATCTCAACTGCCCTCAAAAACACACTTTAAAAGACTTTCTAAAAAATGGTGACAGTCAATATCACCTGAAGATTTTGAAATAAAATCCATCTTAACTGAGACAATTGCCACTACAATGGTGACGGAGAAGGGAAGTCGTAACACTTATTGAAAGATGAGATTTTGCTTTGGATGTATTTGCAGTCCACGTTTACCCTCTCTGACCACCCCATAATTGAAGAAAGATTATTTCCATTTTATAGACAGGAAGCTGTGGGTTTGAGAGGGTAAGCAGCTTGCCCAATGCCGCACAATCAATCATAATGGTGGAGTTGAGATCTTACACTTAGCCTGCACTTCTCTTTCAAGACCAGAGACAGCTGGATGCACTACACCACACTGACTGCTCCTCACCCTTACCCAAGAGGATTTCATTGTAGTTGAGCAAAGTCTAGCATTGAGGATAGTTTAATAATTAATGATCTACCAAACTGAGATACAGATTTTGTCTTGTGAATAGAAAGGATATTGATTCCATTTGTTTTGCATTCAAGCAAGGGAAATTAGGTAAGACATTTTTGAGCTTATCTGATAAGTATTTCCCTGCTCTTTTTAACAAGCTTTGCTGTAGTTGGTCTTCCTAAAACTTTTGGCTCTAATAAGATTGATTAATACAAGATGGTTTGAGGACCTAAAGGCTAACTGTATTTGACTATTCCTTTTATTGTTCATGTTGATTCATATTGTTGGACATGGACATTTTAAAGTCCTGTGTACCATTCTCACTCATTCTTATATGCAAATCCCCCTTCTTCCTGACATAACACTACCTCAGACTGCCCACATCCATACCTAACTTTGTTATCATATAGAATAGGGGCCACCAAACTTTATCTCTATAGACCAGAAAGTAAATAGTTTAGGTTTTGCAGGCCAGATGACTGCTATTACAATTATTCAACTTGGCTATTTTGTGGGGGGAAGAAAGTAGCTCTAAATTATAGAGTAAACAAATAAGCAAGACTGTATTCCAATATAACAGGAGGCAGGAGAGATTTGGGTCAAAGGCATAGATTGCTGACCCTTGATCTGTAAGAAAGAAGTCTGTTTATTTACAAATGTTGAAAGCCAACTCAAGTCTCTTTGTAAGTCATGAAGAGTTCTTCCCTAGTACATAGTGGATAATGGAGAAAATGACAAAACCCCTGTTAGGTCTGAGATACAATTTACATGCAAGACTCAGCATCCATTGAAATTGAGGAATTTTGACAGAGTTTCTATCCATAACACCACCACCATCAAAATATAGAACACTTTCCTTATCTCTCAAACTTTTCTGAGTCCTGTCATCCATTTCTCCTGGTGGCCCTATTCCCAGGCTTTTTCTGATCTGCTCTTTTCGCTATAAATTAGTGTGTACTTTCTATAGCTTTATACAAATGCAATCATACAATATGTACATCTTTGTGCTTGGTTTATTTTATTCAATACCACAATTTTGAGACTCTTCACAGTGTTGCAAATATAAATAGTTTATTCCTTTTTATCTGCTGAGTAGTAAATCATTGTAGCATAGATAGATCATAATTTATCTGTTTACAGTTGGGTTGCTTTCAGTTTTTTGATATGGTGAGTAAAGCTGCTCTTAATATTAACATTTCTCTTTGGTAAACTCTAGGCACAGAATTGTTAGGTTATATGTTAGACTGTCTATTTCACTTTGTAAGAAACTGCCGGTTGTCCAAATTGTTTGCCATTTTACATTCCCACTGAGAGCCTATACATGAATTCCAATTTATCCATTATCTCATCAAAACGTGTTGTCAGTTTTTTTTATTTAGCCATGCTAATAAGAATATAGTCAAATCTCATTATGATTTCAATTTTCATTTCACTGATTAGTAATGATTTTGACCATCTTTTCATATGTTTATTAACCACTTATGTTTCTTCTTTGGTGAAACATTAATTTAAACACATATTTATTATTAGATTGCCTTATTATTGTAGAATTTATGAGATCTTTATATATACCAAATAGAAAGCTGCATGTTATATGTACTGAAAATACTCCATCTAACTTTTGATCTGCATTTTCATTTTATTAATGGTAATTTTTCAAATAGCAAAAGTTTAAAATTTTGAGCTAATCCAATTTATCAATTTTTTTCTCATAAGGGTCTTTGTTTTTGTGTTACTTTTGCTATCTTTTCCTACTCTGAAAGACATCATGATTTTTTTTTCCTGTGTAGTTTTAGCTTTTACATTAATGTCCATTGTTTATTTTGATTAATTTTTGCATACAGTGCAGAAAAGGTCAATGTTCGTTCTTCTCTGTAGAGTCACCTAGTTGTTACATCACCATTTCTTGAAATGGCTTTCCCACCATTGAGTTGCTTTGGCATTTTTGTCCAAAGTAGATGGATCATAAAAGTGTGCTCCCTATTTTTGGACAGTAGTTCTATTAATCCCTTTGTCTATCCTTCCCTCTTATATCGCATTGTCTTTGTTATTGTACAAATATAGTAAACCTTCAAATAAAGTAGCATAAAATGTTCAGTCTTTTAAAATTATTTTGAAAATTCTAGAGCTTTGTATATTCTCTTGACATTTGAAAGTGAAATTAACAATTTTTGTAATACAAAAATGCACGCTAAACTTTTTATCGGGATTGCTTTGAATCTATAGATCCATTTGAATGAAATTGGGCTTTAATGATTTTGTAGTCTTTCAGTCCATGTAAACAGAAAAGTTTTCTCATAGTTCAGGAAACCAGAAGTCCAAGTTGAAGATGTTGGCCGGCTGGATTCTTTCTGGAGGCTCTGAAGGAGAACTATTCTATGCCCTTCTCTTACCTGCCAATGTCTGCCAGCAATCCTTGATATTCCTTGGCTTGCAGGCAGTTTCTGCCTCTTATTTCATCTGTCTTCATGCCTTTCAGTGTTGTAGTGTCTTTTCTTATAAAGACAACTGATTCTTAAAAAGACAGCTGTCTTTGGATATAGGGCACATGAGATCCTTACCCTTTTTTCTTCATTCCAATGAAAGGTAATTGTTGAGATTCTGGGTAGACATACCTGGGGAGGGCCACAATTCCACTCACTACATTTATATTTCTGAAAATTTATTCTTAAATATTTCATTATTGCTATTGTAACTTGATTTTTTTTTTACTTAAATTCTTTTATTGGTACATTTTAGGTATACAGTACATTTACATTTATCACTGGGTGCTTGTACCTGTACATGATGCATCTTGGTTCTTATTTTTTCCCCATTACCTGTGTGCCCCTCACCCCCTCCACCCTTCCCTATTCACATAGACTTTGTTTCCATTGTTTTCTTTTCTCATAATTTTTCCTTTCCCTTCTTTTCTTTCCCCTTCCCCTCCCACTTCCCCTACTCCTTTGGACCTTTTCTTCCTACTTCAAATTATCAATTATTCATTTTAATCATTTTAATCCT